GTGTGTGTGCATCATTTCCCTGGCAGCAGATGCACTATGGGAAGATGATCCAGCTAATCAAGTCCTTCAGGCTTAATTGAAAACTATTTGGTTTGTGTGTTGGAGCAGGGCTGCGGTCCTCCAGAAACTGAGTTTGACATCCCTGATGCACACCCTTCAAGGAAATGGGTTCCTCCCAAATGGTAGTGGCCTCTTTCAGCAAAATAATGCACCCTGACACACTGGAAAAAATGTGCAGGAATGGTTTGAGGAACATGACAAAGAGTTGAAGGTGTTGGCTTGGTCTCCAAACTCCCCAGATCTCAATCCAATTGAGCTTCTATGGGATGGGCTGGTCCAAAAAACAAACAAACAAACAAACAAAAAAACAGAAATTTGAGGTCTAAATATAGCTGTAAATTTGAACTATTTGCAAATGATATTTTACAAAACGCACACATTCACTGTTATTTGTACTCAAGTTCACTCAAGTATCTTTTCTCATCACATTCAGTTATGAATTACACGACTCACGTAAATGATACCATATTTTCAAATCTAAACGTTGAAATTTAAGAAGAAAGTTGAGTAGTTTGCATCATTGGATATTACTGTAAGACATTTAACATATATGTCGTAAAACAGTTTTTCACTACTTCCTACACTACCTCGCTTTCAACGTTAAAGAAGAAGCTTCGCACTGGAATTCGCACTCCGCTTCTGTGAACGGTAAAGCCTGAATTCTTTGATTTTATTGGCCATCCGAGATCAATACAGAAATGAGACTTAAAAAAGACAAATAAATGCATAAAAAAAAACACTTGAATACAGCACTTAAAAAATAAAATTCTTTAATTTTTGTTTAAGGGTTAGTTCACCAAAAAATTCTGTCATTAATTACTCACCCTCAATCGTGTCGTTCCAAACCCGTAAGACCTTCGTTCATCTTCGGAACACAATTAAAGATATTTTTGATAAAATCTGAGGGCTCTCTGACCCTCCCATAGACAGCAAGGTAACTACCACGTTCAAGGTCCAGAAAAGTACCAAGATGATCGACAAAGTAGTCCGTGTGACATCAGAGGTTCAACTGTAAAGTTAAGAAGCTACGAGAATACTTTTTTGCGCAAAGAAAACAAAAATTAAACACTTTTAACTTTACAGTTGAACCACTGATGTCACACTGGCTACTTTGTCGATCATCTTGGTACTTTTCTGGACCTTGAACGTGGTAGTTACCTTGTTGTCTATGGGAGGGTCAGAGAGCCCTCAGATTCCATCAAAAATATCTTAATTTGTGTTCCGAAGATGAACGAAGGTCTTACGGGTTTGGAGCAACACAAGGGTGAGTAATTAATGACAGCATTTTCATTTTGGGGTGAACTAACCCTTTAATATTCTTCAAAGATGCCAATACTACATATTACAATTATATTCATGATAATGCAGGACAAAAAAGGCACCTGTTTTGTATAATGAATCACATATTTACTATAAATAATAGTGTTCATAAACTAAAAACAAATGTTACGGTACAGTAAACATTGCTTTGTCTGCAAGATTATAGGTTATAGAAAATTATAACTTGAGATAGAGAAAATTATGCAACTGGGTGCTAGAAAGAAGACAGCTGCGAGATCAGAATACCACAAATGTATAATTTGTTCGACTTATCTGCGAAAAGCATACAAGGTATACAATACAGATCTGTTGGGGAACCTGCATGAAATAGCAATCTTGAACTTCCTCGTACCTGCAAAGAGACATGCTTTGGTTTATTGCACCATAGCTGTGCTAAATTTGCATGTGAGTAAGCTTATAGTGCTAAAAACAGATTTAACTGTCTGTAGACTCCAACAGGTTTTTGTGTTTAGAAAGACCATTCGGTTATTTGTGTTGAAACTGCTCCAGCTTAGATACTGTAATACACTGTACATTGTCCTCAAAGCAATAGTTCAGACTTTTGTATTTCATGAACTATCAACATTAAGAGTCTGCAGCACACTCTTGAGTATCGAAACAAATCCTCTGATGGCATGCTGGTTTACGGGCTGCTGTTTGACAGATACCACCAGGCTTTCATCACTGCCAGGGGCCTGCTGGTCCCCCTGCAGCAGTTCGGCGAGGATCAGGGTCCCAGTGCTCCTGGTGTAAATGTAGGCCTTCCACGGCACAGTGTCTCCCGGGGTGAAGGCCAGAGTCTGGATCTTCACCAGCTGTAAGGCAGCCTGTAACGTATCCGGAGCCGTTCTGGGTCGAGGGGAACCCAGAGTTTGCCTGTGGAGAATCTCCAAGTCCAGCCACATTTTCTCAAAAGTCTCATGGGATAAAGGAGAACCCAGAGATAGACTGATCTCCTCATCTGTGTCATCTGGGCTGGAGAGGGTTACATCTGTACTTTCTGTTAGACGGGGAAACACGGGTGGAGTGAGACAGTTTTATGATGCTATATTAGTATTGCATTTATTATAAAATTATCATTTAAATGTATAATATCATAACATTTATAATTATAATAAAAATAAAATTATTATTATTAAAGCATTTAAAATTAAACATTAACCAAAATAAAATAAAATATAAATAATTACAATTATTTTTATAAAAAAGAATTAATAAAAATGTCTGTTTAAAGTTGAGGTAATAAAATAACTAAAACTAAGAAATAAGTGTAATAAAAAATATATAGACATTTAAAAAACAGGTAGGATGAGAGTTATATGATGTATTGGTATTGAATTTATTATAAAATTAAAAATTAAATGTACAATATTACATTTTACTTGCGTATATTTAATTAAATCACAATTAAAATTAGGTAAACAATAAAAATTGAGTTATTGTCAGGATTATTATTATTAACTAAAACTGATTTAAAAAAAAAATTTTTTAAGTAAACATTAACCAAAATAAAATAAAATATAAAAAACAAGGTAACATTTTTACATTTTCGTTAAAGTACTAAAACTAAATATACTAAGAACTAAAACTTGATAATAATTATATATATATATATATATGTGTGTGTGTGTGGTGAAAATATTTTTATTGTTAAAAATATTTTAACAATTTTTATAAATTGAAAAAATATACTGAAATAAAAACCACACACACACACATATATACATATATATATATATATAAATGAAAATTAAACAAACATAATAAAGTAAATGCTAAATTATAACTTTTTATAGTTATTAAGATAATATAAAAATCATAAAAAACTGATGCAATTAAAATAAATCTGATTCACCTGGCAACAGCTCCTTTTCTGCGCTGCTGGATGGCTGGTCAGCGGCTGATATAACAGCAGTCTGAGGGCATAAATCGCGTCCAGACAGCGGGCCGAGTGTGTTGAAGGTAGCGGTCCACTGACTAATGGGCTCTTCTTGCCGTCCGGTGAGAACACTCATGGACGGATCGGATTTGGGTCCGGTTACAACCTTCCTCGTCTCTTCAACTCCCCGCTGAAGAAGTCGGTAGCACAGCAAAGCCCGGTCACGCACACACACATCGCTCTCTTCCTCTGCGGTGGACCAAAGAATATTAAATCAATTACAGAAGCAAGAAGCTCTTGACTAAATATGTCAAATGAAGGGTACATCTGTGACCATTTCTCAGAATGAATCGCACAGACTGAAAATAAACTAAAATAAGAACAGGGAAGGAGGGCCTGTGGCACGGTGGCAACTTCACGGTTGTGCACATAAATGACTAGCATAATAGACTAATATATATATAGACTACTATTTAGACATATACGTGATGTGATCTTGGAGCACAAAAGCAGTCTGAAGTCGCTGGGGTATATCTGTAGCAATAGCCAAAAATACATTGTATAGGTCAAAATGATCAATTTTTCTTTTATGCCAAAAATCATTAGGATATTAAGTAAAGATCATGTTCCATTAAGATATTTTGTAAATTTCCTATCGTAAATATATCAAAATTAAATTTTTGATTAGTAATATGCATTGCTAAGAACTTCATCTGGACAACTTTAAGGCGATTTTCTCAATATTTCGATTTTTTTGCACCCTCAGATTCCAGATTTTCAAATAGTTGTATCTCGGCCAAATGTTGTTCTATTCCTAACAAACCACACATCAATGGAAAGCTTATTTATTCAGCTTTTCAGAAGATGTATACATCTTAATTACAAAAAAAATCGACCCTTATGGTTTTGTGGTCCAGGGTCACACATAGATATATATATATATATATATATATATACGTATATACTGTATATACCTGGAGGAATGCAATTATTTTTGTTCTTTTTTTACTTCTATTTGAAATTATCTGTAAACGTGCTCTACACACCAATACAGTAATGTAAAAGACGGCCCAGCATGTCTTGAGTCTCAGCGGGGCGGCACAGGAACATCTTGACCGAGGCAGTCAGCAGCTCCATCTTCACGGCCGAGGACAGCTCAGTCTTCAGCCCGTCTATGTAGCCCTCCATCACATAGGGGGCGCTACTGATCTGATCACCATGTTCTCCCAGAAGCCATAACAGAGCCTGCTTTCCCTGAGAAAAACAGTGGAAGGATGTATCCTTCTCTGATAAGTCAAACATACATTTTGGCCAACTTGTATTTTGTAAATATAGACAAACTAAGACTAATTTATCTTATTACCTTTTCAATTGCAAGACATATGCTAAAATGCTTGAAATTATTTTTGTAGACAAAAAGATTCTTGTAGATGGTCAAAACAAAAGGCAGGCGAATCATCTCACCTCACTATCTTGAGGACTGTCAACACAGGCCTCCACGGTCTGACACACAGCGGCTGTGCTCTGAGGACAGAACCACACCAAATCTCTGAACGTCTGGATCACGGCTAAACACACACACACACACACACACACACACACACACACACACACGAAGAGTTGATTCTGTTAACTGATTATGTCTGTTTGCAAACAAAGCTATTATCCAAGCTGGAGAAAGTGCCTGCTAAAAGGGTTTTGAAAAGCAAACAGTACCTCCTTCAGAAACAAACAAAAAAATTACTCTCCTTTACTCATTAACTAGAAGATATAAAAATCAGAAGCATGCACATGTTTGGCTCCGCTTTCTCTCACACCTGACGTGATGTGATCCTGTTTCAATGCCAGCAGTCCGGTCAGGATATCCAGACACTTTTCACTGTATGTTCGTGCAATACGACCTTAAAAAAAAGAGAGAGAAACATTTGTACTTAACAACAATTTATATTACAGGACAAGCGATATGAAATGCCATACTGCCAGCTGTGGAAATATTACATTTAAAAGTTAACCTTAGTCAGTAAATATAATTTTAATTTTTTATTTTTACATAAATGAAAACAAAACCATTAAGGATTAAAATTGTGTCTGTTTAGAAGTATATGTATTTTTTTTGAAAGGCCTCAGATTATTACAAATTTTCACATATCATTTTCTAAGGGTACAGATTGTGTCCCTTTACTTTTGTGAAAGCAAAGGTTCAAATTCCATAATAAATCTGTAAGATAAATTATTATATCTTAGCATGAAGAAGCTAGTTTTAGTCAAATCTCTGTACTACTAATACCCTTAAATTGTTATTTGTGCCTGTGCTGAATGATCTCAACTGTATCTAATAATTAAAATCATACAACATTATAATTAATAATATATTAATAAAATAAATATCAAAGTAAAATAAAACATAAATATAACATTCTTAAATAAATATTATATTTAAAGGTTTTTACAATGAACTGATGTTAGAATGATATTCAATTACATGTATAAAACTATCAAAAATCTTTATACTTTTTTTTTTTTTTTTTACAGAAAAGTAACATTTAACTGTCTTGCAACCCAGTTACCATTAGATTGTATCTTTTAAAAAAGGGCAAATAAAAAAATAAACCCTGATTTAAACTCTGTTACCCATTTTGGTTTTTATTTATTTATTTTACATGAATATAAAAATAAATTTGTTAATTTATAATGCATTACTAAATGCAATGAAATCAGGGTTGCAAATCACAAAACAAATTTCAAATAAATGAATAAATGAATGACTAAGAAAGAAAGAAAGAAAAAAGAAAGAAAGAAAAACTTGATTGTGCAAAATGCCTACAACCTTCAATTTGACATTTGCTCCTCACAATGAAGTTTCTGTATTTTAAACATAGTTTAATCAAATGAGAGAAGCAAACAGCATCTTGTACCTATAGCAGCAATGGCTGCCTGGGCCAGTTCAGGAGACACATCAGTGCAGTAGCTTCTCAGCTCCTCCAAAACCAAAGACACATTTTCATCATTCACCAGCTCCACCAGGATCTCCATCTTGCGAAACTTAATGTAAGTCGGTTCAGAGTATCCACAAAAGAAGCGCTTGTAATGTGTGCCGAAAAGGCCTGGCTGACTCCGCATGACCTGCTGTACGTGACAGAGGCCAGCAAAGCGAAGCTCGCGTGACGCAGCACCGCAGGTGGCCAGCAGGGGCGCACTTGTGCGCAGGAGGGCGTCGGCCTGCACAGCCGGGTGGGCGGAGGCTAACTGAAGGAAGAGGCGGAGCGTGGCAACTGTGACATGTGCGTGAGCACTTTGGAGGAAGGAGTCTAGTAGGCTGAGGATGTCGAACAACTGGTCGTCGCTACGAGGACGGTAGCGTAGCAGGAAGGTGAGGACCTCACTCTGAGCCCAACTGTCCAGGTCCTTCATTCTGAAGGAGAAAACACATGAAAACACAAAGTCGCTCATTAGACCAGTGTTTCTCAACCAGGGGTCCGTGGACCCCTAGTGGTCCTTGACGTAAGGCCGGGGGGTCCATGTAAAGTATGAATATTTGTATAAATTTTGTATATTTTGACAAAAAAATCCAATATAGCTGATGATATGGCCAAATACTGGACAAGTCAGCTAACTTGAATTATACTTGACTGTATTTGGTCCTCACAAAAACACACAAATGATACATAGACGAGTCAACTTTGTTCTGGGGGTCCTTGAGGATGGTTCTGAATTGGACTGGGGTCCGGTACGCCAAAAGGTTGAGATTCACTGCATTAGACAATCTGCTAAATAGGCATGCATGATGCTTTTGAAAGCCTTTGAAAACATTTTGCCCTGCAAAAATGCAACTCCGTGTTGTTTTTTGTTAACTAATACTAAAGCCATTAAAAAATGTAAACTGAAATAAAGATAAAATGTTCACGCAAAGAAAGGCGGCGAAAATATTAGATGAAAAAATGTTGCTTTGGCAACTAACTGAAATACATTTAAGTACTAAAACGACTAAAACTGAAAATTAAATTCAAACTAAATAGAAACGCCATAACAAAATGACTAAAACCTAAAGTAAGATTACAATTAAAACTCAAACTATAAAAACAAAAGCTCACTGAAAACTGATAAATACTATAATAGTATATAAATATACCAGTGTTATTTTAGTATCATTTAGATAAGATTATCATTTTTATTAATATTTTGAATCATTTTTATAGTTTGATTTTAGTTTACTGTTTTCGTCTGGTTTTTTTTCAGTTTTAGTTTTAGCTATTTTAGTACATCAAGTTAAGCTAAATTCAAATGAGAACGGTTGGCAACTAGCTGAAATAAAAACCTTAGTTTTTTTAAGTAATGGATTTTTATTTTTATTTTTTTAGTTAACTATAAAATCCTGAAATAGCCTAAAATAACACTGGCATTTGGCAGACACTTACACATATATTTAAAGAAACTATATATGTAAAGGAAAAGTTCACCCAAAAACTAAAATCTGCTGAAAATTTTGCATCACTTGCTCACCAAAGGATGCTCTGCAGTGAATGGGTGCCGTCAGAATGACAGTCCAAACAGCTGATAAATACATCACAATAATCCACACCTCTCCAGTTCATCACTGTGAAGAAAAAAGCTGAGTGTTTGTATGAAATAAATCCATCATTAAGACGTTTTTAATTTCATAGCACTGCGTCTGGCTGAAATAGGAGTCCTCAATCCATTATATATTGCTTTTTTCAGCGAAAAAGTCACCTCGTCTGAATCAGGACAGAAATATGCACAGATCAAACACTTTACAAGCGGAAGCAGTTCAAAACACAAAGGCTTGGATCTCTCACTGGAGGAAGCGTTATTATGGATCATGGACTGGTATTTTGGCCAGAAGTGACATAAAAATGAAAAAGTAAAAAAAGAAAAAATTAATGATGGATTTGTGTTTTACAAGCACACAGCTTTTCTCTACACAAGACTGATGGACCGGAGTGGTGTGGATTACTGTGATGTTTTTATCAGCTGTTTGGACTCTCATTCTGACGGCACCCATTCACTGCAGAGGATCCACTGGTGAACAAATGATGTAATGATAAATTTCTCCAAATCTATTCCCATGAAGAAACAAACTCATCTACATCTTGGATGGCCTAAGGGTGAGGACATTTTCAGCTCAGTATTATTTTTAGGTGAACAGAACTGTAATTCAGACATTCTACATTAATTACATGAAAACATTAACCAGACCCTTACAGAAAGGCTGATCAAATGCATGATGCTGCTGTTTAGAAGCATCATGCTGCATTTTCCCCTGCTTTTGATTTAAAAAAAAAAGTGGCTGTTTTCAACAAAAATGCAATCCAACATGTTGTCTACAAGTATGTGATGTGTTCTGGTGAAAATATGTTCTTTGTAGTTAAGAATGCTTGACATGCTGTTGGTCATCACAGACGCTGAACCAGTAACATTC